TAGAAGATGCTTGAAGTAAGAAGAGGATAGCAGAGAGATGCGCGCACTCTGCATGGAGAAGAAACACTTCTATTTATACCCAGTGCATTAAATGAACATTTAATGCAATATGGTAGGTTTAGAGTGCGTGTCAAGCCTTAAGAGGAAGACTTGTCCTTTGCTACAGTGAATAGTACAAAAGCACAATTTTTTAGCAGACATCCTTGCCTAAAGTTGGTGGACAAAGAGTCGACTAATCAGCTCCGTACCGTACTAACTTTTGCAAGGGTATGGGTTTGTCTTTTGTGTGCATAAGGACAAGACAACAACAATCGTGCTAAGCAAACACCCTCCTTCCTCAGTCAGTATGGTTTCTTCAAAAGGCTCGAGATTCGACAGGCTATCCAAAAATCCAAATCCAAGCACAAGCCTTACAGTGAAGAAGTTTTGAATGAATTATTCAACAATGTGTCAAAGATCATCGAGGTTCCTTCTCTGCCAAGGAAGTCCTTTCGAAGAAAGAACTTTTTTGAACCTGAAGATGGTCCATCCAACCAAAACGAGCATGAAACAAAATTCTCAGTGGATGAACTCTTCAAGTATCAAAAAAAGCCATATATCTCAATGCTGAATTTGTCACTGCCTGAGAATGGTCCTTATATACCCAACACAGTGCATGTGAGACCTGAATATGGACTTATGTCCATTGACTATGATGGTCAATACCTAAGAACGAGTATCCGAGTTCCATCTCTGCCCTATAGATCACTTAGAATATCTAAGAACTTGGTTGAATGATGATCTATTTGGAGAGATGATGGATGATACGTACTAAGTATTTAGTACGTAAAGTACCTTTTTATTCTCTTTTAGATAGGTTATTTTCTATTCATATCCCAACTTTGAGTCATTTTATCTCTTTTATCTGTTTTTATGCTAAGAAGAATGATGAACCTGTTTTTAGTGGATTTTGGTCTAAATTGATTTTATTTTGGACAGATTGGAGCAGGTTGATCCTGTGGAAATGTGGTAGCATGACCTGATGGCTGATAGAGAGATGGATGAGACTTAGAAGTGATTGACATGATATGGGATGACATTTGAAAGGCTTCTAAAGTTGCATTAGCTGTATTTTGCTCAGATTAGCTGGAGCATTACAAGACTTATATTAGTTCCTTTCTAATTARTAGTTTGTAATATGTACTTTTTAGTT